CCTCACACATGCAATGCAACAGCAATGCACCTCGGGGCCGCCCGCTCTCCAGGCCCCACGCCCACCGCCTGCCAACTGCGCACCCAGCCCTCAGCGGGCGGGAACCTGAGGCTAAACACGGGTAACCACTGTCCCCTGGACCCAAGCCTTAGCCAGGCAGCAAAGCCCGCTGGGCCCCCAGTCCTGCTCCTTTGGGCTACCCCGTCTTCTGCAGCCCGGAGGGGAGGGCCAAGGAGTGGAAAGGCCGCCACCCGCAGACCCGCAGGGCCCTGGCCCCGCCCCTCACCTTGTCAATGGAGCTGCCGGCTGTGGTGGTGGCCAGGCTGTCCTGCAGGTACCCACTGACACAGAGGCCCAGGCTGGCCGGGCTGGCCTCGGTCTTCCTGCGGCCCAGCAGGGCCCGGGCAGCCTTGAAGGAGAGCAGAGCTGCCCTGGGCAAGGGTCTCCTGTGGGGGCCAGGGCGGAGAAGTGGGGGTCAGAGCAGGGGCAGGCCCTCAGAGCCCCCACCCTGGTTCCAGCTTCATGGCAAAGACCGTGGCGATCCCCACCGCACAGAACAGGGCTGGGGGCTGGCCGCACTCACTCGGACTCCTGCAGGGCACGGGGCAGGCGCTCCACCAGTGGGTACAGCTGCGCCGCAGCCTCCTCGTCCCGCCGCAGCCAGTGCGTCACCACAGCCGTCAGCGAGGCCCACCACTTGGCCACCGGGTCTGTGCCTGAGGGAGCAGGGGTGCAGATGGGAGCGTCCCTGAAACGGCCCCCCTGCACCGGAGGCCGCCCTGCTGTGTAGCAGGGGCTGGGTGGGCAGGCACGGGGCAGGGCCAGGGCTCACCGGTGGTGGTGGCCATGCTGGAGCCCACGGAGAAGCTGCACGCCGGGGCCCCGGCCGCATCAGAGCAGCTGTGCAGCAGCTGGAGGTACCCCAGGGCATCCGAGAACTCCCTGTGGTGGGAGACTGGTGTTAGGGCAGGCGGCCAGGCCCCGGCGTCCGGAGGGCACTGGCCCTTCACCCCTCCCCCACAGCACAGCCTGCTGTCCTGGCTCTGAGTGGCACTATCACCTCCTGCCCGGCTGGTGGGAAACACGCCCAGAGAGGAGCTGAGACCCACTGGAGGCCACCATGGTGAGTGGACAGTCACCTGCTCTGGCCACCTCCACAAGCCCCCAGACATAGCCATTCCCAGACCACACAGTGGAGGGCTCCTGCCTCCTGGGGGGTGAGGACGGGGCACTCACCTGTCCCCGTCAGCTGGTGCAGGGCTGGGGCTGGGCTGGGCCACACAATTCAGTGCTCGCTCCAAGAGGTGTTCTCGGAACAGCTGGGTCACCTGGGCCAAGGGGTCCACTGTGGGGAGGAGCGGGTGAGTGGGGAACTGCCTCGTCTCCACATTCCCCTCTCCTGGGCACACGGGGCTTGGCTCTGGGACGGTAAGTGGGTGGATAAATACCCTGCCCCTGGCCTTTGACAGCATCACCTCCCTGGGCCAGTGGAGCCAGCTCCCTGAGCTCCCTCACCTGCTCCGCCCTCCCGCACAGGTCACCGCCCACATTCGCCACCTGCCCCACACCCCACTCGTGTCCTTCTGAAGAGGCCTGAGAGACCAGCCCCAAAGCAACAACAGCCAGCTAGGGAACGGGCGGGGTGGCCAGGGACACCTGAAATGCAGGGACAGGGACGCGGCAGGAGTGAGGCTAGGAAATGGCAGTGGAGAACAAAGGCTGAGGAGGGCGGGGCTGGGGGGGCGGGGAGGGCACCTGGGTTCCCGGCCGAGCTGTACAGGCTCTCCCTCGGGGGGCTGCACACGGCCCAGTCCCCATCCACGAAGAAACGGTGGCCCACAGGGTGGCAGAGCCACTGCAGGGCAATGGGCACTGTGCCACTCTGTGCCAGGCAGGCCTGGCGGGCACTGCTCAGGAAGAAGCGCTGTGGGGAAGGAGGTGGGCTGTCACTCTGCCCCGGGCAGTGCCCGCGGGCCGCATCCTGTGCAGCCCCCCAGGAGCCGGTCAG